CCATAGCATAACCCATAGGACAGCCCTGCCCCATAGCACAGCCCTGCCCCGCAGCACACCCCAGCCCCATAGCACACCCCTGCCCCACAGTATAGTTCTATAACACACCCCAGCCCCATACCACCCCCAGCCCCATAGCACAGCCCCATTGCACACCCCAGAGCCCCATAGCACAGCCCCACCCCATAGTATAGCCCTATAGCACACCCCAGCCCCATACTACCCACAGCCCCATAGCACACCCCACAGCCCCATAGCACAGCCCTGCCCCATAGCACACCCCAGGACCATTGGGTGTGGGGCCAGTGAGACCCAGCCCAGCTGCCCTGGGGGTTAACCCCCCCCTCTCCCCCCAGTGGAAGGTCCCAAATGCAAGTCCCTGGGGGGGGAACCTGGAACCCGCATGGGTCCCCACCCCCACCCCCCCTCCCCCCCATCTGGCAGTGGCCCCACATCTGGGCAGGAGCCACCTCATGAAACATGCATTTGAGGCCGGACATGCGTGGGGCTGCACATGGCCTTGGAGCACATGCATGTGGGGCTGCTGCACACACCACACACATGCCATGGAGCCCCTGTCCCGTGCAGCACATGCATGTATATGTGTGTACACACACGGGCATGGAACATGCTTGCACATCCATGTGTGCACACACAGGCATGGAACACGCACATCCATGTGTGCACATGAGCATGGAACAAGCACATCTGTGTGTGCACACACAGGCATGGAACACACTAGCACATCCACGTGTGCACACATGGGAATGGAACACGCTTGCACATCCATGTGTGCACACATGGGCATGGAACACGTACATCCATGTGTGCACACACGGACATTGAACATGCTTGCACACACATGTGAAGGCTCCGTGCACAGACGTGTCCTTTCTAGGCAATGGAGCCGGACACCACATTCCACACGTGTGAGTCAGCCCCAGCCTCACTGCGGCGGCACACGGACACGTGTGGCACCGCATGGACATGTGTGGCACTGCATGGATGTGCATGTAACGGCATGGACATACGTGTAAGCGCAATGACACGCGTGTAACTCCATGGTGTCGCATGACATAGTGTGACAAAATGTGGCCCAGCTGGAAACAGGGATGAGGATGAGCGGTGCGTGAGGGCTGTGGGTCTCAGGGTGTTTCTGTGGGTCTCTCTGGGTCACTGTGGATCTCTATATCTCTGTGGGTCCCGCTGTGGGTCTCAGGGTATCTCTATGGGTCACTGTGGGTCCTGCTGTGGGTCTCAGGGTGTCTCTATGGGTTGCTGTGGGTCCAGCTGTGGGTCTCAGGGTATCTCTATGGGTCTCTATGGGTCTCTGTAGGTCCTGCTGTGGTTCTCAGAGTGGCTCTGTGGGTCACTGTGTGTCTCTATGGGTTGCTATGGGTCCTGTTGTGGGTCTCAGGGTGTCTCTATGGGTCACTGTGGGTCCTGCTGTGCCTGGCCGTGGGTCGCAGAGGGGCCGTTGCCGGGTAACCCCGTGTTTGTGTGGGGCTGACTCAGGCCGTGAGTCACCGGCAGCACCGGGCAGCCCCCCCTCCCCCCTCCCCGGCGCTGGGTGTCCCCGGGGGGGGGTATCCCGAGGAGGGGGGGTAGCCCGGGGGGGGGGGGGAGTGTGTGACACAGCACCTCCCCCCCCCGAGCAGCCTCGTGCCCATGAGTCACCCCAGGGCGGCTCCAGACACCATAGCCCATGATGTAACGTGACATTGTATGACATAACGAGCATGGCATGACGTAGCGTGACATGGCAGGACACGCTATGGCACTGTGTGACGGCTGTCCTTGTCCCCTGCTCACGCATGTGATAGCGTGTCCAGCCGTGTTACGCCATGTGACCTCATGCAGAGCCATGTCATGCTGCGCTTTGTGACGCCATGCCGTGCTTTGTGACGCCATGCCATGCTTTGTGACGTCACGCGGCGCGTGTTCCTCACCGCCCCCCCGGCACCGCCGGGGTTAACCCCCGGCCCACACGCTAGCCAATGAGAGCCGGCGGGGCGGTGACCAACGAGAGGGAGTGCCCAACTCTGCAGGCAGCCAATGAGAGCCGGCGGGGCGGTGCTTGCGGCCAATGGGCGGAGCCGCTGCCCTGAGTTGACCCGCGGCCCCCCCCGGCCCCCCCCCGGCGGAACGGCGCTACCGGGACTGTTCGACGCCAAAATTCCTCGTTTTCCACCCAAAACCACACTCCCCCCTCCCTTCCTTCTCCCCAGTGCCGCTTCACCCAATCCCGGCCGTTTTTACCCCGAAGGCACCGGCAGACGCCGGGTTCGCGCACCCCGACGTGCTTTGAGACGTGTGAAAACGTGGCTTTTCCCGTTCAAACGCGTTTTGCCCATGACAACGGCGTCTGGCGCCGCCGGGGGGGAGGTCCCGGCTGGGGCCAAAGGGTGGGACCCGGCGGTAGGGAAAGGGGCCCCCGTCCCTTGGGCAGACGCAGCGGCTCCAGGGCGGGTGCCGGGATTGGCCGCTCCCGGTGGCTCCGCCGAGGGCAGTGGGCACACGGTGGTGCCGGTGCGGGACTGCCGGCGGGATGGAGCCGGGGGAGCGGGGATTCGAGCTGTGGCGAGATTACCTGGGGCTGGCGGCCGTGGTGGCTGCCCTGCGGCGCACGGAGGCGGCGGCGGCAGCACCAGGAGGGCAGAACGGCGGTGGCAGCAGCGGTGGTGGTGGCGGCTGCACCTTCTGCAGGCACAACGGGGAGGCAAAGCAGGTGTACAGCGGGCACCGGCTGCGGGACGCGGCGGGCCGGGTGCTGTGCCCGGTGCTGCGGAGCTACGTGTGCCCGCAGTGTGGAGCCACTGAGGACCGGGCGCACACGCGGCGCTTCTGCCCGCTCACCCGCCGCGGCTACGCCTCCGTCTACAGCCGGCCCAGCCGCGGCACCGGGAGCAGCGAGCACTGACGGGCAGCACCGGGGCGCAGGTAACGGCCGCGACTGGGGATGGGGGGGGGGGGTCGGAATTCCCGCTGCACGGATGAGCCTCGCACCCTGCTGCTCTTCCAGAGAGAGACATCGGGACGGCGCTTCCCACCCGCACCAGTGACCCATTCCTGACTGCGGGAGACCGGGACGGCAGGAACGGCGCTGGACGCTGATGAGAAACTGGACTCGGGGGGGATTGTACCGGCCCCCGGGAGGGTTGTACCGGGCCCCGAGATGGCTGTACCGCCTCCCGAGTGGTTGTACTGGCCCCCGGGGGTGGGGTTGTACCGACCCCGGGGGAGTTGTACTGGCGTCACGGTTGGGTTCAGTTGTGTTTTGGGTTGGTTTGTTGGGATTTGGACGCGTTTTGGCACACTGTTTATTTTCTGTTCGAGCCCTCATTGGTAATAAAGGGGCTCCCCGGGGGCTTACCCCACTCCTACGTCTCCATCCGCCTCCTCCCGGGGTTCAACGGCGCCGGGCGCCGGCTCCGCCGCGGCTTCGGCCTCCTCAGCGCCTCCAGGCCCCGGTGGGCACCCATGGCCAAGCGGCTGCGGGGTGGGCGCCGCGTCAGCCCCCGCCACGGCCCCGAATCCCACCCCAAATCCCTTGGGAAAAACCTTACTTAAGGTCCGAGAGCTCTTGGATGAGGCCGCAGACGATGTCGGTCGCGTCGTCCCTATGGAGCACACGAGGAACGGGGGGGGGAGGGGGGGGGTTGTCGCCATTCCTGCTCTTCCCGGCACCGGGAGCACGGAGCAGCCCGTGGGGCACCCACCTCGGGGCCTCTTCAGAGCGGTGCCCGGTGTCCACGAGCTCCTGTGGGATAACAGAGAATGGGCTGGGTTGAAGGGAGCTCATCCAGCTCCAACCCACGGGCAGGGACACCTTGCACTGCAGCAGGGTGCTCTAAGCCCTGTGTCCAACCTGCCCTTGGGGCCCATGAGCCTGAATCCCCCCTGTTCCGAGCACAGAGCCGCGTTATTCCCGCTTTTCCAGGTCGTTTCAGGCAGACTGAGGAGTCCTGGGGGGTTATTCCCGGGCAGTCTGCTCCTGCCATGGATTTACCTTGTGCTGTGGCGGCAGCTCCTGGTTGGGCTCTTCCCGGAGCTCATCCTGAGGCTCATCCCGGGGCTCCAACTGCAGCTCAGCCTGGGGCTTATCCTGATCCTCATCCCGAAGCTCCTCCCGCAGCTCATCCCGATGCTCATTCCGGGGCTCCTCCAGCAGCTCCTCCCGGGGCTCATCCCGAGCCTCCTGCGGCTCATCCCGATGCTCAACCCGAGCCTCCTCCCGCAGCTCCTGTGGCTCATCCTGATGCTCATCCCAGGGCTCATCCCGAACCTTCTTCTGCAACTCCCACAGCTCATCCCGATGCTCATCCTGGGGCTCCTTCTGCCGGGGCTTATTCTGCGGTTCCTGCAGCTCATCCTGATGCGCATCCCGAGTCTCTTCCCGGGCCTCCTGTTGCTCATCCCGGGTCTCCTCCTGCAGCTCATCCCGATGTTCATCCCGCGGCTCCTGCAGGTCATCCGGGTCCTCGTCCCGAGCCTCATCCCGGGGCTCTTCCAGCGGCTCCTCCTTGGGCCCAGCACCAGCATCAGATCCTGAGGGAGGCGGCCCCGGCTCCGCGCCGCGGTTCAGCCCCGGGGGGTTCCCAGCGGCCGGGACCGGAGCCTCCTCCCCTGGGACCGGAGCCTCCTCCCCTGGGACCGGAGCCTCCTCCCCTGGGACCGGAGCCTCCTCTCCCGGGACCGGAGCCTCCTCTCCCGCTGCCTCCGGAGGCATCTGCTTGGCTCTGGGGATGCTGTGCTCACCGGCTGCACCTTGGAGGGGAACCGGCCCCGTCAGCGCCGGCTCCCGGGTGACGGGACCTGGGTTTTGGGCTCTAACGGGCCTGGAAGGACGGTGCCGGAGGGGGGGGCGGCAGTTACCGACACCGGGGCGTGAAGCGAGGCGCCCCGTTACCTGCCGCCGGCTCCTTCTTCCTCTTGCCCATCCCTTGCCGCTCGCCTGAGGGGGCAGAACACAAGGAGTGATGAGCACCGTTAACGGGGCCATGATGGGGCCATCAATGGAGCCATTAACAAGACCATTAACGGAGCCGTTGGCCGCCCTTGCCAGGAGCCGGGGCCCCGCTCAGCCCCGCCGCGGCCGGATCGCCACAGCCCTCGGGTCTGAGGCGAAACCAAAGGCGTTTGAAACGGTTTTAACCGGTTTTCACCCATTTTCACCCGTTCCCTGCCCCCGGGGCAGGCGCCATCTTGCCGCCTCACCTCAAGCTTTCCCGCCTTTTTCCCCCCGCTCCCCATGCACTTGCGCGGCGCGGCGCACGCTGGGAGTTGTAGTCTTCCCCCCCGCACCACCTCCCGTGGGGGAGCCGCCGTCAAGCGAAGCCGTGCTGATAACGACAGCGGCTTTTGCGACGGCGGCGCACGTAAAGCGCGGCGTGTTGTTGACAGCGGCTGGAGCAGGAAGTGAGCGTGGATCCGGGGGTCGGGATCGGGATGGGACCAGGATGGGATCGGGATCGGGATGGGATCGGGATGGGATCGGGACGGGATCGGGATCAGGATGGGACCAGGATGGGACCAGGGTGGGATCGGGATCGGGATGGGATCGGGACGGGATCGAGACGGGATCGGGATCAGGATGGGACCAGGATGGGATCGGGATCGGGATGGGATCGGGACGGGATCGGGATGGGATTGGGATCCAGGTAGATCAGCTCTGCCCCTGCCCCAGCAGCTCCCTTGGGAATGGAGGCGATCGAGGCCATGGCTGCTTTGTGCATGAAGGACCCGGAGGAGGAGGAGGAGGAGGGGGCGGATGAAGACGGGCTCATGGTGAGGAATTCTCATCCCAAAAAGGGGCTATTCCCGCTTGGAATGGCGCTAAAGGGGCTCCTGGTGCTCCCCAGGCTGAGCTGCGGGAGGTGCTGGGCAGCGTGGACACACCGGAGCCTGCAGCCAAGGTAGGGATGGGATCCGGAGAGATCCCGAGGAGCCTGGCTTGGTGGAAGGGCCCAGAGGCAGCCCCAGCCCTATTCATTCCCCATTGGAATGGATCCGGATGGGTCCATCCTGATTCTGGTCCGCAGGTGTCGGCTCCGGAGCTTGGGAACACCGAGGCCTTGCTGCAGGAGCGGGCAGCTCTGTACCGGGCCGCCATCGCCAGCACTAGCCCTGGCCCGCGGCTGCGGCGCTTCCAGAGGGGCCTCAAGGTGAGCCCAAGGGATCCCATAGGAGAGGCTCCATTCCTGCTGGGATCCAGCCCCTGGGGATCATGGCCCTGGGGTGCGCCTTCAGTTTCTGGCCCTTTCCTCCCCGTCCCTTCTTGGTTTCCCTTCAGGCTTCCCCTTCCCATGAGTTATCCCATGGGATTTGGGGGGCGAGGATGGGACTGAGCCCCTCTGTGCCCCCCGCAGACGCTGGAGGCGATGCTGGAATGCGTCAGGAAGGGAAAACCCATCCAGGAGGATGAAATTCCCCCTCCAGTGGCGCTGGGCAAGGCTCCGGCCCCCCCTCCAGTGCCCCCTTCCCCCCCAGAGGAGGTTTCCAGGCTGGATGCGGCCGCATCCCAACGGATCCAGCATTCCCAGGAGCTCCGGAGCCGCCAGCACCAATACAAGGTCTTGGCTCTCCAGGCCAAGCGCAGCGGGGACATGGCCACAGCCACCAAGTGCTACCGGGAGGCGAAGGTACGGCACCGGTGCGGCCGGAATTCTGCTTGGATTGGGCTTCCCATGGGAATGCCAGGGGGGTTTGCTCTTTGTGCTTTGCTCTGGCAGAGGTTTGATGCTCTCCTGAATGCTGTGGCCAAGGGGCAGCCAGTGGAGCCCAGCCTCGTGCCGCCACCTCCTGGTAAATCCCGGTGCTCCCGGTGCTGCCCGGCGGCATTCCCGGTGCTCCTCGGGCCGGATCCATCCCTCCCATCCCCACAGATCCACTCCCGGAGGAGCCGGAGCTGCATCACACTGCGGAGCCAGAGGCCAAACCAGCTTCTCCTTCCAGTGCAGGTCAGAGCCCTGACACCCCTGCCCCATAGCGGGGTGCTGGGATCTCCCACCAGCCCCATAGCAGGGTGCTGGGACACCCTAAAGCCAGGCTGGGAATATTGGGGCTGTCCAGCCTGGAGAAGAGAAGGCTCCGGGATTAGGATGGTCCAGGCTGGGATGCTCCATCTCTGCAGAGTCGGAGCTCCCTGCCCTAGTGCAAAGTGCCCATAGGGCCTGGATGCACTTTAACCTCCCTTCCCCCCCATCCCCATTCCCATCCCCATTCCCATCCCCATTCCCATCCCCATCCCATCCCCATCCCACTCCCATCCCATCCCCATTCCCATCCCATCCCCATTCCCGTCCCAGGCTCCGGGGCTGTGCTCCCAGCGCTGCAGCTCCGGATGCGCCGCTACGAGGAAGCGGCGGCGGCGGCCGGCATGCGGGGGGACGCGCGCAAGGCCCGGATGCATGAGCGCATCGTGAAGGTACCGAAGCCCCTGGAGTGCCCTCAGCTCCCGCCTCCCAATTGGTTAATGAGCAATTAACATTGATTAATTATAATAGAACTAAAAATTAATGTTTTAATTTCCACCCCCATCACATCCCATCCTCATCCCATCCCATAATTAATTAATTATAAATAATCATTATAACAACATTGATAATACTGGATATTAATCTCCAGCAATACCAAGAGGCCATCCGGGCCCACACCGCCGGGAAACCCGTGGATCTCTCGGAGCTTCCTGTTCCTCCAGGTACCATTCCCGGTTTCCCCCAACCGTGGGTGCATCGCGGCGAGGATCCGCATCCCATTGGCGCCAATCCTGGGGTTTTCCCACCGCTTTACCAGGTTTCCAGCCCATCCAGGGCATGGATGCGGGCGGGGAGCGGAGCATGGCGGCAGTGCTGGAGCAGGCACTGAGGCTCGTGGGGCAGGAGGAGCACGAGGGGGAGGATGGAGCCAAGGAGGTGGTGATCCCAGCACAGATCCCGGCACATCCCAGTGCCACCAGCGGCCGTTCCCAGCCCCAGCAGCCGCCCCCATCCGGAGCCATGGATGTGACCGGAGCAACCAGAGCAGCTACCAAAGCCGGCAGCAGGGGTACCGGGAATGGCTCTGGTGGGAGTGGGGCTGGGGCTGGAGGCAAAGTGTGGCCCCCACCTTGCTTGTTCCCCCTCTCCTGCCTCCCCAGCCCAGCAGCAGCTTTGCTTCCTGCAATCCCGGCGGGAGCAGCTCCTGGAAGCTGCTCTGGGATCCAAGCGCCGTGGGGACCTGGAGGGGGCGAAGCTGTTCCTGCGCCGGGCCAAGGCGCTGGAGCCGGCGCTGGAGGCCTCGCGCCGCGGCCTCCCTGTGGACATCAGCAAGGTCAGGGGGGCAATGAGCCCCCTGAGATCCCACTGCATCCTGTCCCCATCCCACTGCATCCCATCCCCATCCCACTGCATCGCATCCCCATCCCATCCCATTGCATCCTATCCCTATCCCACTGCATCCCATCCCCATCCCATCCCCCTGCATCCCATCCCCATCCCATCCCACTGAATCCCATCCCATCCCACTGCATCCCATCCCACTGCATCCTATCCCACTGAATCCCATCCCCATCCCATCCCACTGCATCCCATCCCATCCCATCCCATCCCACTGCATCCCATCCCACTGCATCCTATCCCACTGAATCCCATCCCCATCCCATCCCACTGCATCCCATCCCATCCCATCCCATCCCATCCCACTGCATCCCATCCCACTGCATCCTATCCCACTGAATCCCATCCCCATCCCATCCCACTGCATCCCATCCCCATCCCACCCCCCTCCCATCCCCACCCATTGGCTCCCTGTGCCACAGGTGCCGGAGGCGCCGGGATTCCCGGAGTTCTTCCTGCTGGAACCGCGCTCTGGCGCCAGGATCCCGCCGGAAGCGGCCGCACGGTTCCTGGAGCTGTTGCGGCTCCTCCGGCGCCAGCACGAGGTGAGGAGGAGGAGGAGGGAGGGGGAGTGAGGAGGAAGGAAACAAGCGGCTTCCTTCCTGCTTCCTCCCTGCTTCCCTTTTCCCCCCTTCTCCCTCTGCTTCCTCCCTTCTCCTCCCATTTATTTCCCCCTTTATTCCTCCCTTTTCCCTCCTCCTTTTCCCATTTTTCCCCTTTCTTTCCCCCTCCCTCCCCTTCCTGCCCCCCAGATCTGCCTCAGTCACTCCAAGCAATTCACTCAACTGGGAAACCTCACGGAGACGACCAAGTGAGTGCATCCGGAGCTGGAGCCGGAGCCGCTCCGGAGCTGCTGCTCATCCGGCACCACATTCCCGGCAGGTTCGAGGCGCTGGCTCAGGAATGCCGCCGGAGCCTGGAGCTGCTCCAACGGGCTCATGCCGCTGGCGCCCCGGTGCCGCGGCACCACCAGGAGCAGCGAACCTTCACCACTATCAGGTACTGCAGCCCCGGCCCCTGCGGCTCCAGCGCCGCCGCTTGTGTTCCAATGGGATCCTGGCATTCCCAGGAGCTTCCCGGAGCTGAGCCCCAGCGACCTGGAGCTGGCCATAATGAAGGGGATGAACCTCCCGGCACCACAGGGTGAGCCTCGATGGAGCCAGTGCAGGGAGAGGGAGAATCCTCATGGACTGGGGGGGATCCCAAGGGAAAAGGCGTCCCTGCCCCGGGGACTGGAGGATCCCATTCCATGATTCCAGGTTTGGCTCCCAAGGACCTGGACACGTCAGTGCGGTTCGAGTTCCCGCATCCCAGCGTGGTGAGTGGGGGTCCCAGAGCCGGAGCCGGAGCCTTGGGACCATCCAGGTCTGATGCTCCCATTGCAGGAGGAGCCCCAGCGGGACAAAACAGCCACTGTGAAGAGCACGGATTGTCCTGGTAACCGGCACTGGGCCTCCCCTGCCCCATAGCGCAGCCCCCCCCGCGCCCAAATCCCCCCATTCCCACCCCCACATCCTGCTGTGCCGGTGCAGAGTTCCGGGAGCGGTTCCGGCTCCGGCTGCTCCGAGGGCACCGGGGGCTGCGCCGTGTCCTGCGCTCCAAAGGCATCAAGTTCGAGGTGACCCACAAGGGGTAAGAGATAGGGAGACCCCCCTAGACCCCGTTTCCCCTCCCCACATCCTCCTGCCTCTTCCCAATCCCCATCCCCGATCCCAGGGGACTCTTCAAGCCTGACCGCATCCTGGGCTCGGCCTCGCTGCGCTTGGATGCACTGGAGACCACGTGTGAGGTCCGGGAGGTGCTGGAGGTGAATGGTGGGATCCGAGCTGGGGGGAGTCATGCAGGGCTTCCCACCCCATTCCCACTTCCCACCGGGAATGTTCCCCCACCCAATTCCCAGCTCCTGGATGGGCGGCGCCGCACCGGTGGGACCCTGGAGGTGCTGGTACGTCTGCGGGAGCCACTGGGAGCACCGGAGCTGCGGCCGCGCACCGAGCCCTGGCTGGTGATCCAGGCACCGGGAAGTGCTGGGAATGGCAGGGAACAGCACCGGGAACGGCACTGGGAACAGGCAAGTGTGGGATGCGATCGGTCCCTGTGGCCTTGTGTGACCCCGCTCCCCCTTCCCGCGTCCCCTTCCTGCTTCCCCCTTCCCACATTTCCTTCCCTTTTCCCCCTTCCCTTCCCCACTGACCTCTCCGGCTCCCCCCTCCCATTGCCCCCATCCCTGTGCTGGCGCTGAGGGCACTGAGGTCAACCAGAAGGGGCCCCCTCCCGTGCCACTCCCCCCAGCACCCATGGGACCCCACCTTCCCACAGGATGCAGCCAAGGAGCTGCTTTACAAGAGAAACCTGGTGCAGAACGAGGTGGGGGTGGCTCCCGGGGGGGGGCACTTTGGGGGGTTCCCCCATTCTCCCCCCATTCCCTCCCATTATTCCCACATTTCCTCCTATTCCCCCCCCCCATTTCCCCCTCTTTCCCCCCCTCTTTTCTCTTCCAGCTCCAGAAGCTCCATGGATGAGCCCCCCCCGGCGCTGCAGTGACAATCACAGGGACTGGAGCTGCTCCAGCCCCCCCATAAGCACTTTGCCCCCCCCTTGTCGTCCCCCCCCCCCCCGCCAAGTGCCTGCCCCGGGGGGCGCGGGGGGGGCCTGGGGCTCCTTCTGCATCCTCACACGTGACTCTATAAAGGTTTTAAGGCAAAAAAACGCGGGTTTTGGTCAATCCCCCCCCCAAATCCTGGGCAGCATCTCCCCGTCGCTATGGCAACGGCTCCCCCACCCCGCCGATGCCTCGTCTCCATGGCAACCGCGCCAAGAGCGGACGGGCGGGAGGCCGAGCCAATCGCTGCGTGCGCGCCGCCGGGCGCTGAGTCCCCATTGGTCCGCGCCCTGGGGATTGTCAGCAGCGGCGGGCCAACGGGATCGGAGGCGGCAGCCTCGCTCCGCCGGCTCGCCCAATGAGAGGCGCGGGCGGTGGCGTGGCGGCCAATGGGGGAGCGGCGGGGGCGGGCGGTGTCGGGGGGGGCGGGGGCGCTCCGGAAGAGGAGGGGGGGGCGGGGGAAAATGGCGCCGAGCTCGAACGCGGAGCGCGGCGGCGGCGGCGGCGGCGGGAGGCGGGGCCCGGGGGGAGCCGCGGCCGGAAGCGGGGCCCGCGCGCGCCGGGAGCACCTCCTGCGGCAGCTGCAGCGCGGCAGGGTCAGCGCGGGGTCAGCGCGGGGTCAGCGCGGGGGCATGGCGGGGAGGGGGCACGGGGTGCTCCGTGCCACAGGGCAGGGCAGTGGGGCTACAGCGCGGTGCTATGGGGCGCTGTGGGGTGCTATGGGGTGCCATGGGGCAGCAATGGAGTGCTATGGGATAGCAACGGAGTGGTACGGGATAGCAATGGGGTGCTATGGACAGCAGTGGGGCACTATGGGCAGCAAAAGGGTGCTGTGGAGCAGCAGTGGTGCTCTATGGGATAGCAGTGGGGCTCTATGGGATAGCAATGGGGTGCTATGGACAGCAATGGGGTGCTATGGACAGCAATGGGACACTATGGAGCAGCAATAGGGTGCTATGGAGCAGATATGGGGCAGCAATGGGGGACTGTGGAGCAGCAATGGGGCTCTATGGGACAGCAGTGGGGTGCTATGCACAGCAATGGAGTGCTATGGGCAGCAATGGGGCTCTATGGGATAGCAGTGGGGTGCTATGGGCAGCAATAGGGTGCTATATGACAGCAATGCATCCTGCACGCCACAGCTCTATGGGCAGCTCTCGCCAAGGCTCTTCAGGAAGCTGCCGCCGCGCGTCTGCGTCTCCCTCAAGAGCATCGTGGATGAGGAGCTGCTGCGCGTGGGGTGAGGCTGGGGGGGCTCCCCATGTGTCCCCACCCCATGTCCCCCCTTGTACCCCCCCCATCGTCCCCCATGTCCCCCCTCCAGGCACATCTTCCTGGGCTTCTCCAAGTGCGGGCGCTACGTCCTCTCCTACACCAGCAACAGCAGCGATGATGATCTCTCCTTCTACATCTACCACCTGTACTGGTGGGAGTTCAACGTCCACAGCAAGCTCAAGCTGGTACCGCCCCCCCAGCGTACCCATGGACACGCACCCCTGGGGATGGGGGTTTTGGGGTGTCCCCCCCCCACCCCAGCTCATCCCCCGCCCCCCATAGGTGCGTCAGGTCCGGCTCTTCCAGGACGAGGAGATTTACAGCGATCTCTACTTGACCGTGTGCGAGTGGCCGAGCGACACCGCCAAGGTCATCGTGTTCGGCTTCAAGTGAGCCTGCCTGGGGGTCATCATCCTCATCCCCATCCCCATCCGTCTGCATCCCTGCCTTCATGCCCATTCTCATCCCTATCATCTTCATCCCCATCCCCATCCATCTGCATCCCTGTGTTCATCCCCATCCCCATCCTCATACCTGTCCTCATCCATCTTCATCCCCATCTTCTTCCCTATCTTCATCCCCATCCTCATCCCCATCCCCATCCATCTTCATCCCCATCCATCTCCATCCCCATCCTCATCCTTATCCCCAACATCTTCATGCCCGTCACTATCCATCTGTTTTCACTCCCGTCTTCATCTTCATCATCATTTCGATCCCCATCAGTGTGCATCCCTATTTTCATCCCCATCCTCATCCCTATCCCCAGCATCTTCATTCCCTTCATCTTCATCCCATGTTCATCTCTGTCATCATCATCATTTCCATCCCCATTCATCTATCCCATCCCTGTCTCCATCCTCAGTGCCATCCCGATTTTCATCCCCATTGCCATGCCCATCAGCATCCTCACCTCCATGCCTCTTTTCATCCCCATCCATCTATCTTCATTGCCATCTACATTGCCATCCTCATCCTCTTTCTCATCCCCATTTTCATCCCCATCCCTATCTCCATCCCCACCCCTACCATCACCCCCATCCCTGCCCCCATCTCCATCCTCACCCCCCTCCTCTTCCTCCTTCTCCCCCCAGCACCCGCTCGGCCACGGGGCTGCTCCTCAACATGATGATGCTGAGCGACGAGAACCACCGCGACATCTACATCAGCATCGTGGCCACGCCGGCACCGCTGCACTGCGCTGTGTGCCGGGCCGCGGCACTGCCGCCGGCACCCGGTGAGCGCCAATACCCCTGCTACCCCCCGGTACCCTGCCCCCCCCGGTGCCGGTGCTGAGGCTCTGCCCCCCCTGCAGGCGCCGGCGCCCGGCAGTGCCTGTGCCATGGCTTCATGCTGCACACCAAGTACCAGGTCGTGTACCCCTTCCCCACCTTCCAGCCCGCCTTCCAGCTCAAGCGGGACCACGTCGTGCTGCTCAACACCAGCTACTCCCTCGTGGCCTGTGCCGTGGCCGTGCGTGCTGCCGGTGGGTCCCCCCCCGGACCCACAGACCCCAACCAGACACCCCCCCCCCCCAACCCACCCCCCTTTTACCCTCCTCATCCCATTGCAGGCGATGCCAGCTCCTCCCAGATCCTCTATGGGCACCGGAGCCCCCCTGCACCGGCGCCCCCCCGGGCCCCAGAGGAGGGGCTAGAACGGGACCCGGGGGTGCAGCACCCGGCGGGGGGGGCACCGGTTCCAGCCCCCTCCCCATCGCCAGCAGTGGCCAAAGCAAAGGAGTTCGTGGCCGATCTCTTCCGCCGCGCCAAGGGGACCCCGGGGCTGGGGGGGGACGAGGATGAGGATGAGGACAGCGCCACCGGCACCCCCGAGGGGCCCTCCCTGCCCTCCACCACCCCCCCACCAGTGCTGGGGCGCTGCCCCCCCCACCCCACGTCCCCCCCAGGCCATGGGACCCCCCCCGGGCCCCCTGAGCCCGGGTACATCAACTACACCCAACTGCGCTATGTGCTGGAGCCTGGCCCGGCTGAGGAGGGTGAGCACAGGCATGGACCCCTATTGATTTTGGGGTTCCCCATTGATTTTGGGGTCCCTCATTGATTTTGGGGTCCCCCCATTGATTTTGGGATCCCCCCAGAGCTGGAGGACGACAAGATCTCGCTGCCCTTCCTGGTGACCGACCTGCGTGGCCGCAGCCTGAAGCCACTCAAGGAGCGAGCAGTGGCACCGGTGGGTGCCATTGGGGGGGGTCCCCTGTGGGACCCTATTCCCATTCCTGTTCCCTACTCCTGTTCCCATTCCCTATTCCTTTTCCCATTCCCTTTCTCATTCCTGTTCCCATTCCCCTTCCCATTCCTGTTCCCATTCCAATTCCCATTCCCTATTCCTGTTCCCATTCCCGCTCCTATTCCCGTTCCCAGGAGCAGTTCCTGGCTGTGGAGCAGCTCACACTGGACTTTGAGTACGTCATCAATGAGGTCATTCGCCATGACGCAGCCTGGGCCCGGCAGTTCTGCTCCTTCAGCGACTATGACATCGTCATCCTCGAGGTGGGGACCCCCCTGTTCCCCCCATGGCATCCCTGTGGCCCCCATCGCCCCCCATCACCGCTCTTTGTCCCCCCCAGGTTTGCCCTGAGACCAACCAGGTTGTCATCAACATTGGGCTCCTGCTCCTGGCCTTCCCCTCCCCGGATGAGGAGGGACAATTGAGGTGAGGGGGGGACACAGACACTCCCAAACCCCCCCACCCCCCCCACTGACCCCCCCCTTTGCCCCCCCCAGACCAAAGACCTACCACACCAGCCTGAAGGTGGCCTGGGACCTCAACACTGGCGCCTTCGTCACCGTCGGCGTCGGGGACCTCACTGAGGTCAAGGGGCAGACGAGGTGGGGGGGGCTTGGGGTTTAGGGCAGTTGTGGGGCAATTTGGGGGCATCTTTGAAGGTTTGGGGGCAGTTTTGGGTGGTTTGGGGGCAATATGATGGGTTGGGGGGGTTAGGGCAGTTATGGGGCAATTTGGGGGAGTTTTGGGACATCTTTGGAGGGCTTTTGGGCAGTTTTGGAGCAATATGATGGGTTTGGGGGAAATTTGATGGGTTTGGGGCAGGGTTGGGGCCATTCTGACACTGTGGGTGCATTTGGGGGCAATTTACGGGGAATTGGGAAAAATCTAGGGGGTGATAGGTCAATTTGGGGGCAATTTGGGTAGATGTGGGGGCAATGGGTGGAGATTTTAGGCATATTGGGTGGGTTTTAGGGTAATTTGTGTGGATGTGGGGGCAGTTTGGTTGGATTTCGGGCAGTTTGGGCGGAGTTGGGGCAAGCTGGGTGTGCACGGGGACAATCTGGGGGCAATTTGGGGAAGCTTTGTGGCCGTTGTCGAGCATCGGGCGCCGCGATGGAGGGGGA